AATTCCACAAAAACAGTATCCTTGGTTGGGCTTGACTAGAATTTGATGACTAATAAACTCCATTCTTACGTTTAAAGAGGAGAAAACACTAAAAGCATAATGGATATATATACACTCTATTATAATACTTTGTTTATTTTAAAAGTAGTATTTTTATTTTTATTTAGTTTCAAGATTAATTTTAAAACAATTTTTATTCTTTTAAAATTATCTTTAAGTTAATACATGGAGTTTTACACCATTAAAAGTAATTTTTTTTAAAAGGCATTTATTAAGGTTAAGATAATAAACCACTTCTTATTTTCTAGGGTCAAAATTAGATGTCCTTGAATATAATTGAGTCCTTGAAATTTTTTTGTTAGTGTGCATGATTAATAACAAGGCTAATCTCACAAACAATAAAATAAAGACAGAAATATTGACTCTTATAACATCATTTATCATCTAGAAGATTAGTTGTTACTAATGGAAAAATTCTTTTCGCGGAATGGTAAAAAGACTTATTCACACTATAAATTAGTTTTTTTTTTGGATATTTTTATCCTTTTCACTTAAAATTAAATATATTTGGAGAATGTCATTTTTGGATATCTATATTCTTCTATTATATTTTCAGATTAATAACAATTAATTGCATCAACTATTGAAAATTTCATAGTCAATTATGTACTATGGAATCCCTACGTACTACAAATTCTATCAAAGAGCACATTGATCATTAAGTAGATTGGATGACCCATAAAAAAAATGTTTTCAATTATGTTTTAAAAATAACAATTATGACATCAATAGTAAAAAAAAATATTTTTTGAATCACATTATATTCTTGTTGATTGTATTATAATAAAAAAATCACTTAACTAATATTACAATAGCTTATGGTCAAAATATTTGTGTTAACTGAATTTACTTAACTCTAATTTATTTTATTCAAATATAATAATTAAAAAAGTACGTAATAGAATTTGAAGGTCATTTTAGTAACAAATATAAGTAATGATTCAAAATTTACCAAAACGACGTAATATAGGGATAAAATATGTATGATTAATAATATTAATATTTTATTCTCTTTGATTCGACATATATAAAATATACACATAATTTCTATAATTGTCGATATATACCGAATTTAATGTATTTTGAGTTGTCATTATCTCAACATTTCATAAATTACATTTAAAAATTATTAAATCTGCACATCCATTTTTCACTAGCTAGAACTAATCAATTATACGTCTGCAGGAAACTAGGGTGAGTTTGATACTTTTAGCTTTCATAATATTTTCATTTGGGATTAGTATACTTTCTGGATTAAATTATAATATATATATTTTTCTTATTTATTGTATTTTTACTAAAGATGTATGTTATTATTGTGAAAAAGTCTTTTAAGTGTGTATCAAAGCTGAAATATAGAGCCCCTTTTGGGCTCAAGACTCCCTGCATTTTCTTGTATACATGCTGATATACATAGGCCCAAAATGGATATGGCAGCAGCACTCCCAAATAGCAGGGAATTTGGGCTTGAGAAGCCCAAGTTCATTTCTTCATTACTTACTTATTTTATCGTAATTTTGTTTAAATGAAGAGTTTTATTACTTGATTAACTTCTTACAAACAATAATAAATGTATTTCGACATATTTTAAAAAGAAAATTTTGAACTAATTAAAATAAAAATGTGTTTGAATAGTTAATATTTTGTTCCTAGAAATACTTTAAAGGAATTAAACATGTTTTTAACATTATGTTACATAATATGACCACTAAATTCGTATTTTGATTATTAAAATAGTCTGTAAAATGACGTATCATTAGCTTTTAAATAATTTAAAGAAAATATCAAATTTCATGACAAAGAATTAACAATGTTTGACTATCAAGAAATCAATAATTTGATTTGTATTCATCGAAAGATTATAAAATATAAAACTTTTATTTTTATATTTTCGTAATATCAAATAATATAAACTATTTAACAAAGGAAATTTGACAAAGTCAACCTTTAAAATTCAAATCCTAATTAATATTGAAATTCAAAATAAAGAAAATGAGTAGTTGAAAAATAAAGGAGAACAACAAAAGAAAATGTTAATAGAAAAAGACTTTGTTTAGAAAATAAAGGATGAAAAAACTAAAAAATAAATAAATTAGAAAAAAAATCGAAAAAAAAGTATATTGGTTATTTTGTGGGGGGTAAGTTTTAGAGTTTTCTTTACGGCATTGGTATTAAGTGCAGTATCAAAAAAAATAATTAAAGTAATTTAGAATATAACATTACGATAATTGTCATTGTATATAGAAATAAAATTTCTTTCATGATTGTTTTTGTTTTTTGTGGAGGCAAAAATTATTTTGATAAATACTTTCAATATTTAGAATATAAAATTACGATAATTGTTATTATATATAGAAATAAAGTTGCTTTCTTGATTGTTTTTATTGTTGTGAAGTTAGAAATCAATTTTTCAAGTATTTCTATTTATGGAAGACAATAATAAAATGTATCACAAAATTCATTGACAAAGTCAAATACAAACACATTATAGTCAAGTTGAAGCAATAGATATCTGAAAGCCTTTAAAACAATCTTTACGAATTGATTGATTAATGATTAGTACTTTATCGGACGCAAAACTTATGGTGCAAATATCACAAAACGAAGATAATAACATTGTGAAAGATAGACATCACTTACGAATATATATGAAGATCGATGAATTTTTTCAAAGATATCAACATTTTATATATTCCTCGAACATGAAATATTTTAACTCATAATCTAACGCAATTCTCTATTTCCTTGCTGCAAAGAATTTTTTAGAAGTAAACTTTCTCAAATTAGGTTGTTAACGACACATTTATGTCATGTGACTATTTGGAATAGATTATAAAGTAATATATTCAAGTTGTTTACTAAAGAAAAAAATAGTATAAAGTACAGAAATTTCATATCTTTGGTGGCTAATTACATCACATCCGAGAAGTTTTCTCAATTACAAAGATCTCAAATTTTTCATTCCTCTCGAATATATTCCTTGGTTGTCCAATACATTGCAAATGACATATTACTTCGGGGAAGGAATGAATTCGAGAAGGGATATATATGTATCCGACGGAAATAGATGTATCCAAGAGAAATAGGGATACATTCGAGAGAGGACTATAATATTATGTTGTGAATTTATCTAACTTTCAACAAAATATGTGAAATTATCACTCTTTTTTAGACTACTTGTGTAATATTTAATGGACTTTCGTTAAGAGACAATATTTTACTTATGAATTGTTCTTAAAAGAATACATCAACATTAGCATATTAGTCAGATTATAATATTTTATATTAATAATAACTAGATTAAACAACTCACATATAGAAACAAAAAATTATATCTAAATAATAAAATCTGTAAGTTAATTTATTTAAATAAATTTAATAGTATAAATATAAAATAAAAAATAAAAAAATAAATAAAATGATTAAAAAAATTTGAGGGGATATTTTTGTCTTTACCTAGATTAATCCCATGGTATTAGAGCTAGTACCACAAAATGGAAGGTATTAGTTATACATCCTCTAATACCATGTAGGGTGCATAACTAATCCCTAGATTGATTATATATAGATCTAAAATTTCTAAACCAAACATAGTATTAAATAATACCACACATAATACTTGAATTATTTCTCCTAATATTCTCTACCAGACAAACCCTAACTCTTTAATTAATTAATTGAAAGTTTTCTCTTCTTTTTAAAAAATATATATGATTCAATTGCTTTCTTTACTTGGTTAGATTTTAGCTAAAGTGCACTTCAAATCACTTTCAAGTGTTCAAGTCAATTTCTTTTTCAAACAATTTTTATCCTTATTATTTTTTAAGTAATTTTTTTCTAAGTTAGTCAAAAAAGACTATTTTCAAATAGTAAGATAATCACGAGTTAGTGGACATTTCAAATGCCTTAAAACTCTTACAATACATATTAGTTTATGGCCATTGTTGCACTTTTCTCATATATGTTACATAATGTTGGATGTACTGACAGTTATTTGGTGCTGTTGATTACTGTTCTGCATTACTCCAATTGAAGTTAGTGCATATGTTACAAATTCCTTAGTGCAGCAGCTCACAAGCCATTGGTGGATTTGTGTTCCTTTATTTCATTCTTTATTAGTTTAACGGATGTAAGATGTAGGTCATTTATCTTTACTATTTACTATACTATTATCTTTATGATATTAACTAATAGGAAGATTTTCTCAACTACAAGTAGTGATGGTCTTCATTTTTTTTGATATACACAAAAAATTTATAGAGTGCATAAACATTGATCAAAAGAGAGTTCTTATTAGTTGAATGAATTTTTTTTGGCAGCTTTGGACTCAATTCTTGTCAAGAGTTCGTTGAGTTACACTTTGTAATTAGACTGTTATATTTTGGAGGGGACAAGCCAGGAAGGACTATTGCTGAATCGTTGAGAAACATTTACTGCAGTGGACTTGAATCTACTTAAAAAGACAGATATATTCATGTCTCAGCGCCTGAAGAAATTTTATCTTCATTTTAATTTCGATTTTAATCTTTCTACTTTTATTATGTTGTAATTTTTCACTAATAAGTTATATTGTCTAAAATTCATTTGATCTCTATATCTTCTTGTTTTAGAACTATTTCGTTTATTCCATAAGAAGCTTGTGATAATTTGTAGTTGTAGATGCAATAATTGTGTTTTAACTTCATTGTGCTCTATCATTAGTTTTGATAGCATTTCTTTCTTCATACATGATCATATGTTATATATGCTCTTAAGTTTTAAGTTGGGAACTTGTTAAGGCATATAGTAGCTCAACTCCTCCACAACATATATAGTGTTATTTATTCAAACCTATATAGAGGGAGTAAATATTATTCCCCAAAAAGTAAGATTTTATCAATCCTCCATGTATATTTTTGAGAGCTTATATATATATACCAAATTCATATCACTACGGTGAATATACATTAATTCGAAGATTCCATATATTTAAAATTTCCAAACTTCAAACATGAGAAAAATCCAACAAACATATAGCAGAGTCCAGAGCCTAAAAGGGCAAAAAAAAATTGACAAAAATTTCAAAAGGATACATCAAAATATTTTCTAACCAAAAGGGTAAAATCGCTATGTATAGCGATTTTGTCCAATTTTTTTTAGAATATTGCTACGCCTGCAGCGTTTTTGCATGGTGAAAAAAAACAAGTAGCAGTTTTACATAACCATAATAAACTAGATACACTGTTTCTTAATATATGATCCAAATTTCTCCTCCTTAATTTCTTGTAAAATCAACTACAATAACACTTACATTATCAGTGCTATTCCTCCCAGTAGCAATCCGAGTAAGCAATGATGCTGCTGATTCACTTGGCGAAAAGAATATTGCTTCTCCTTGGACACACACTGTAGCTATTTGAGATGCTGTTTCATTGGATACGACGTCCCATAACCCATCGCTAGCAAGTATTAAACACTCATCATTTACCTTCCTGTTTACGAAGGTAAACTCAGGGTCTGATATGATATATGGCTTCAAGAAACTGTCTCCTGTTTTTAAACACAGGTATTATATATATATAGACATGAATTGTATTATATGAATGATTCATTTATTAATTTAACATTTGAGAAATCTAAATACCATAATTGTGTTTTAACTTGGGTCATGCAAAACCCTATCACTATGGGTGAGTATAACCTAGCTAGGTGATGCAATAAATATAAGGCATATGCTTTAGGCTCACAATTTTGAGGGTCTCAATTTTTGTACTAAAAATAAATTGTATGTTAGTATCTGTATAGAAATATAATTAAAAAATATTTTGAAATATGCATTATCTTTTTCTTGTTTACTTATTATAATTTATCAATTTGTTAAATTGATAAAATCTTACCTTAAATTTAATTGAAATTTTCTTTTTCAATGAAATATTTATAAAAAAATTTACTTAAATATTTAGGCTTTTAATTAAAATTTCATATTAAACCTCTGTTTACGTTGATTCCTCCCTGTTTAGGTGAATGACTAATAAAAAAAAGGCCCAATTTTGAGGGTCTCAATTTTTTTTTCACTAAAAATAAATTGTATATTAGTATCTGTATAGAAATTAAAAAATATTTTGAAATATGCATTATTTTCTTATTGTTAACTTACTATAATTTATCAATTTGTTAAATTGATAAAATCTAACCTTAAATTTAATTGGAAGAGTTTTTTTTTCAATGAAATATTTATAAAAAAATTTAAATTTCATCTTAAACTAGTTTAGGTGAATGGCTAATAAAAAAAAGTGTTTGAAATGAAGAGAGAAATATTACCTATTGCCCGGGACATGGTTAGAACACCTTGAACCCGTAATCCATTAGAATAAACTAGTTCTCCTCCCGCAGCCCTTATTCTCGCCAGTTCATCCCTCCTACTTGGCTGCAACCAAATAATTAGACAGTACCTTTTATAATTAGGAAAAATTATTTTTTTTTTCCGCTCAGTTCATATTGGAGGTTGATTAAATTCAAATCGTGCTTTGTAAAAACTATAATTGGAAGTAGTACTTCCAATAAATTTTTTTCCATACCCAAAATTCGAACTTAAAACCTTTAGTTAAAAGTAGAACAGTTTCATCACCGCATAATATTCAAACTAAAGACCTTTAGTTAAAAGTGGAACAGTTCACATTGGAGATTGATTAAATTCGAATCGTGCTTTTTAAAAACTATAATTGGAAGTAGTACTTCCTATAAATTTTTTTCCATACCCAAAATTTGAACTTAAAACCTTTAGTTAAAAGTAGAACAGTTTTTATCACCACACAATATTCAAACTTAAAACCTTTAGTTAAAAGCGGAACAGTTCCATCACCGCACAACTCACTCGTGTTGAATATTAAATCTTTCTTACCTTGCTTTAAGGAAAGCTTCTTTGTTATTTATAGAGAAATATTAATAAATTCTTAGTTTTGTAGAATCAAGATTCATGATTGACTAAATTCGAATCTTGAATTAATACAAAAACTTTAGTGTGTTTTTTTCACGATAAATTAGTTTTAATCGTTTCAAAAAATTAGGTATTTCTGTAAAACCAGGTTTTTTGCACATAGGGTTCAATTTTTTTATTTTTTTTTACCTTGTGATCGAAGGAGAGAGGGATAGTATTTCCAGCGCTGCTCATAACAGCGCGGGAATCACCACAGTTAGCAATGACAATGGCATGATCTGTTACAATTGCTATGATTGCGGTGGAGCCAATCTGACGCAAGTCGTGATTTGGTGGGCACAAATAGCTGTAGGTTAAAGTAGGACAGTCACAGTTGAAGCATATCATTTTATCCATACGCTGGAAACTTCTTTGCAGAATTCTTATCCATGTCGCCTCCATATCTCGTTCTTCTCTCCTATATGAACTGGAGCTACTACTCGTCATGTTTGTATTGTTCTCTGGGCGCATCAGTTCTTCTTCTATAATCAAGTGCATTTTTTCCCTGCACAGCGCAGACACCTGCATAAACCATAAATTTATGTCTTAATTGCAACTATTGCTAAAATTATCAAACTTTGAAAAAAAAAATTGGTTTAGTATATACCTGGGGACCACCATGACCATCAAAGACGGCATAGAAATGAATGGGTCGACCGCCATTGATGGGCGGAGAGCAAAAATTAGGGTGAATTGAAATCTCGTCTTCCATTGAAGGCCTTTCTCCTTTTACACAACTTGATCCAACTGCTGGCGGCGGCAGTACTCCTCCCCTCAACAGTGCTTCCCGAGCTTGCTCTCTCCTTCTCAATTCAATTCTGTATTGCCGATGCATCCTTACTTCATCCATTTTCTCTAGTGATAAAAAAACATGAAACACTGGCATTATGTTTTTATAGGAGGAGTGTACAGAATTACCACTCCAAATAGTAGAACATCTGTCAACAAAATGTAAACTGAGTATCAAGTGTGTACATGGAAAAAGTTATTCATGTATAAAGTAAAAAGTGTTTACTATTCGAGCAATTAAAACGTGTAACGGTTAGAAAATCTCATGACACGTGTAAGGAAATGGGCAGTACGACCGGACGAAGAAAACCCGGATTTTCATGCTAACTGAAAGAGAAGGAACTTGGCATAATATATTGTCCACGTAGCAATAGCGGCACCGCTTTGAGGGGCAAAGTAGTGTTTGGATTGGAGAAGACATATTTTGCCAGCTTTTCCGCATTTACATACATTTTTCGAAGATTCCCTCAAACTTTATCACTTTATTCGTCCGTTTATGCTACTCCCTCCTGGATGTTCGGTATTATTTGTCGTGATTTCTATTTTTAGAGTTAAATTATAAAAATTTTGATTAACATTTTTAATATGTATCTTTTCATCATATTAATATGCAAAAAATTGTAATTTATAGTATTTTTCATATAGTTTTTAATTTAAATATCGAATTAATGTGATCCAATTTACCTTTAAACTTTCGATAAGTGCAACATGACATACAAATCTGAACGGAAGGAGTACATTTTAGGATGTATTATTTATTTGATATATAAAAAATTATAATTTATAACATATTTGTATAGGTTTAAGTATCTAATCTTTTTAGAATATTACACTAATATAATTTAATTTAACTTTGAAAATTAGTTAAATTGATTTTTGAAGAACGCAACATGACAATTAAAAGTAAACAGATAATTTAATAGTTTTTTCTTTTAAAAAAGAATGATCTGATTTAATTTGATATAAATTTTTTAAAAAGTAATTTACCGTTTGCGATTTTAATTCAAAATATCTTTTAAATTTATGCCTTTAAATATAACATGTGAAAAATAAAATTAAAAATATTATATATATAAAAAAAGAAAAGAATCATAATTTTTGAAATAGGCTAAAAGAATAAGTCTTTTTTTTTCAAACAGACTAAGTAGTTCTTACATATGTTATACGAAGTGAGATCGTACAAAACTACTAGTAAATTATGTTATAGTAATTCTTACATCTTATACACTCAATTAAGATAAAATTGGATTAAATTTTCTAAAATAAAAGCCAAAGTTAAATCCACAACCCAAAAATCAAAATCAAATAATATATATATAAAACATATTTGTTCAAGTTTGAGAACGAGAAATCAAATATATTAAAAATATAATGTGTAATTTTATGACGTTATAAATTTTTTATTTAAATTTAATTAAATTTTAATATAAATATTTAAAAAAAAAAAGGAGAGCAGCCGCTTCGAGGAGGATAAGGAGCAGAGAAAGCCCCTGATGACAGAAACGTGTTAATAGATTCCCTCTTCCAAAGCTTGTTTTCTTATGCGTCAGTTAGATTAGACTTCAGTTACGATTCGTGGTGTATTTATTATTAGGCTTATTCTGTTGGAGGTTCGTAAAATTGATATTAATTTTTATTTAAATATTTTAATTAAACATTTGTTCAGTTTACACGTCTCATATCATATTTCAATGTTATTGTGTTAGATTTGAAAATAAACTTATATTGAAGCTTAGTTTCATGAGGAGAAGGTAACTTTTTGAATTATATATCTTGCATAGTTAATTCATTTTAAAGTTTTCTCTTATTGAGGAAGACGATTTGTATTTACTTGTATGAACTCAATTTGACTTTTCTATTAAGTTGCGTATATCAAGTTTTCTTCTAAGTAGGGGTGTATATAGATTGATTCGATTTAATTTTTTAATAAAAAAAATTAAATTAATTATGTCGATTTATTAAACCTAAAAATCAAATCAAACAATATAAAGTTGGATTTTTTCGGTTTTAATTTTAGTCAATTCATTTTTTTTTATAATTATACGGTATTTGAAAAGCGATCAAATATTCTTTCACTTACCTGTGTGATAAACCAAACTCAAAAAATGTTGAGTGGATAGAAATTTTTAAAAAAGACTGTAAAATTCATATGAATACAAAATATTTATTTTGAAATAGCAACGTTCATTTTGTTAAAGTAATAAGATTAAAGGCTAGAGGCAGGATACATAAATATTTACAAAGCAAATTGTTAACTTCAAA